CCCCCCCCCATAGGTGTTGGTGGAATGAGCGTTGCCTGTGTTTTGAAGAGAAAAGCAGTACTCTGGCAGGACTCGTTCAGCCCCCACCTGAAACAGCACGCTCAAGATACAGCTAATCCCAACATGCCTGTTGTATTGACATCTGGAACAGGGTCCCAGGCTCAGCAACAGCCAGCTGCAAATCAGGCGCTTGCAGCAGGGACGCACTCCAGTCCTGTTCCTGGATCCATAGGAGTTGCAGGCCGCTCCCAGGACGACGCCATGGTGGATTACTTCTTCCAGAGGCAGCATGGTGAGCAGCTTGGGGGAGGAGGAAGTGGTGGAGGCGGCTATAATAACAGCAAACATCGCTGGCCTACTGGGGATAACATTCATGCAGAACATCAGGTAAAAAAAAAGTTCAATGTTTCCAAACTCAACATGTGAATGCATCAGGCTTATGATAGATGCTTTTAATGATGCTTTTTAAAGCTTAAGCTGGTGGTTGTGCGGTTGGAATGGCAACAGTCGTACTTTTTGTTTTCTCTTTCCAGGATTGCGGTGCCTTGGTAGCCATAAGATGAAACATTTCTGCTCATGAGGGTGTTGAAATCCCAATCCACTCTCTGTGACAGTCAATTGCATGTTTGCAAAATTTATCATTCCCTTTATTGATTTTTTTTTTTCTTTTTTTTTTTCCCCCCGGATGTGTGAACCAGCGTAGCAGTAACTGCTGCTGCTTTTCAGATCTGTTGCTGTAGTTAAATAATTCTTATGTAATGGTATTACAAAACTGCCAATGCATGTAGGTTGGGCTTTTACCATTCCCAATATTGAAAAACACAGTTCTGGAAGTTGCTGGTAATGTGTTTTCCTTGGGTTTCTTTGCTTGTTTGTTTTGGGGTTTTGGGGTTGGGGTTTTTTTTGTTATAATTGGGAGGGGAAGGAGCTATTAATGTGCTTAGCTGAACTGAGACGAGAACAGCCTTAGCGTCATGAAACAGTGCTTTTAGAAACACACTAACTTCTTACAGCAACTTCACATGTCTAAAAGGGTAGTGGGCCAAGATGTGTCTCGGTAGTAGTGTTTACTACAAATCTTTTCAGTAGTTGCATTGTCAGATGTGCTGTGAGTTAAATGAGTGCATGACTCACTCTAGCTTTCTGTCTGTGACCTGCAAGTAACTCCTCAGCGAAGATGTGCTTCCTCTTCTTAAGGGAGCAGAACTGAAGTGTAAGCACGTTTTAAAAACGGAACGATTCCCACAAATACTGTCAGAGCAGCAGACACAAAGCTTTTGCGACCTTTATGAACGTCTCCTGCCTCTAAAGTTTTTCAAATAAAAGCAAACAAGCCCTTGCTCCTCTGCTGTTGCCTCCCCAGGGGATGTATTGCCATCCGGACCATTTAAAAGCAAACATTGCAGTGAATTTTGCAACCTCTCTGAAGTCAGTGTGTACATCAACAAAGAAGTAAACCCAAGTGCTGTGTTAACTTGTTCTGGAAGAAAAATTGGATAAAATACTGCAATATGAACTAAGCAGCTAGAAGAATATTGTATATTATATTTCCCCTATGTGGAAACATAGTATTTAGTTATCACTTTAAAGGAAACAAACTGCATTGAAATGAGATGTAATTTTTCTGTTTACTATCCAAGTTTTCAGTCACTAAATGTAAAATTTGTTGCAAGAGACATGGATAGAAGAGATCTTAAAGTACATTTAAGTTGTGTAAGAAACAATAAGCAAAAATTTCTTGCTACAGCATTTAGGTTTTTCAAATAAAAACTGTCACGCAGTCTGGTGTGGAGATGTTTGGGCAGGGACTGCTTTCGTTTGGACATTTTGTGGAAAGATGACTTCATGAATTAAAATGAACATCATAAAATTCTCAGTCCTCTTTTCTTCCAGTGCACACTTTCATCTTTCTCTGAAAATCCCTAAAAGCAAAGGCAATAAAACTCACCAGAGATAGGGGGGCAGGGACAGGGCACCCAAAGCTTGCAGTCATTAAAAATTGTGCTGGTATTTGAACTTCTTTTACTGCATTCTTTAATAACCAGAAGACTTAAGCTTTCCCTCGAACAAAAGAATCCTACCTGCTACAGAGACTTGCCCTGATGTCAGTAGATGTATTGCTTTTCCTCAGCTTGATCTTCAGTAACTTTTTGAATGAAATGGTACTAATAAGTGTACCACTGAATGAAAGAAAAACTCATTAGCGTATACTAGTTTAAATGAACTTTTTAAAAGTAACACACTTATTCTTTGGAGGCAGAATGCTTCTGAGAAGGTCGTATGGGCAAAATACACCTTCAGGATTAAGCTCATAAGGTGGTGTGTGATGCTTTTTCTGTTTGTTTTTTTTTTTTTTTCCCCCCTGTGTGTTCTGCGATCTGAAGCTCAAGGAATATATATAATATAATTAATGTTGGGACCTTATCTGTTCTACTTCCTGGTGGTTTTTACTTTGGCTGTAAAGTATTTGTCACGTAGTCCTGATGTTTTGCATTCAGTATGCATCTTTAAACCAATCTTTGTGTTTAACTTCTTCAAAGCTGACTCTGAGATGGGGCAGTAACCCTTTTCTTGTCTGTCTTACTTGATACTATATACTCCAGTGATTGCTGGGTGGTTTTATCTATGTGTTTATTGCTTCAGCCTTTCTTGAGTGCGTCTTTTTCCATGGTTCTCTGTTTGCCTCAGGGTTTTAGTCATGGGAGGCAGAATGCAGGATATATGTAATCCTAATACTTTTGACTTTTTGGCCACCCTCTGCATCTGCTTCTTAAATTATAAATTCCTTGGAGGAAGAGCTGGTCTTATGCATGCAAAATTATTTAATTCAGTTTGGGCTTAGCTGGGGTAGAATTGAGTTTGTCCTGCAAGAATAGAAGTGAAAGGAGGTGCTGCAGAGAGGTGGGGAATAATTACAGATGTCTGCTAAGTCTCAGTTTCTTATGGATACACTTACATTGCTGTGCTTTTGATTTTAGACTTTGAAAAGTGTAGGGGGGTGAGGGCCCTTGCCTTGTTGCCTTGAAGACTGGTTAGGAAACTCTAGCTAAGAGATAATGGAAAGCCAGAAGAAATAATTATAGGGTAATATAGGTTAATGTCTGCCTAGAGCTTGGGAGGTCGTAATTAAAGGTGGAGGGATTTTTTTTTAATTGTTGAATCCTAGTTTCTTCTTTGTTACATATGTAGACAGACATCTATCTCTGTTGGTGATAATAGTCCAGTGATTTTTACCAAATGATAGCATTTCATCATGTGTTATTAAATAGCTATGAGTGTTGTGAGTCAGAACTTATTTTCGGTATCCTTGCTTTTCATTTTTTATTGTGCTGTCTGTTCCTCCTTGTCATTTGTTTGTACTTGGACTAGCAGCTCTGAGAATTGAGCTATGAATGGCTTTAGTAGGTATGTCTTAAGAAAAAGTTTCTCTGCTCCCGAGGAAGTAGATGGTGTCCTCTTGTTGCAAACAGCAGGAAAATCCTGGTTCTTTTTGTATTTTACCTAGAACTTCTTTTTCCCTTTGCATTTTTCCCTTCTCCTCTAGAAGGTGTGGGGGGAAGTTTTTATATAAAATTAAGCAATTAAAGATGCTACTGTCGTTGTGTATATTTAAGTGTCAAAGATACACCATCCACACCAATAGCATGTATTATAAATTCCTCTTTGTTCTTGCAGACACTGGAGTAATGGTGAAATAGGACTTTTTTTTTTTTTTTTTCTAGATTGGAGTCTCTGAACTCCTAAGCAAACTTCCAGTTGTCTGCGGTTACAAATAGTTCATCACCAAACTTTACATGGAAGACACTTCCATCAGCCAGGTCTTGACTCCAAAACATTGTCTTCTCTTTTTATCCACGAAAGGCAGCAAGATGAGGTTGTGTGTCGAAGCCCACCAGTAATTCTAAGATTCAGACTGAAGAGGTTTAGGCTGTTGCTCATTTCCAAAAAAAATGGGTAGAGATGAGAACTCCACATAGGTGAGTGAAGAGGTACAAGATGACTGCTGAGGAGTAATGGCCTCGGTTGGATTTGCCTTGGTTATGAAAGGTTGCGTGTCTCATTACGAATCCAAGCAGCCATCTATTGCTCCTGAAGGGAATAGAAAAATGGTGGAACTATTCAGCTGGGACAAGTTATGAGCACTGAGCAGGTTTTTAGGAAAATTGGCTGAGTTTTCTTGGATGGGGTCTCTTGTGGCTTGTGCGTGTGTGTATGTTCTTGAACTGGAGTGAAGAGAGAGTTGCTTTGGTGGTGGTCCCTTCTGAATTATAGTGAATGGATATACTTAGACTGTCTGAATTGCAGTTAGGGTAATATGGGAGTTGCTTAGTAGAAGCAAATGATTTTAGGCATTTGCTTTCTTTGAGAGCATGTTTAATTAATAATTTGAGACAATAGAACTCTGCAGGGATTGTCTTGTTGAATGTGGGGAATTTTTCAGATAGAGTTGGTGAAGAATAGCAAGAGCAACAGGGCTGGGACTGGATTTTATGCTTAGTTTTGCCTTTTGGCAATGTGACCATGTAACTTCTTAACTGGAAACTTGAATTCAAGTAGAGACAGAAGGTAATTCTCCTGGCAGCTGCCCTTCTAGAGCACAGCTACGCAAACTGTGCTGCTTGCTGCTGTGAAAGTGTCTGGATTTGATGTTGTTTGACAATGTTTGGTGCCTGTTGGCAGGCACCATGACCAGAGTTTTGCCTTAAAGTTGTGGCAAGGTCCTTGAAAAAGATCCTGGAAGCTGAGGAAGCAGAAGCCCTAGTGTGTTCTTCCAAAGTGAAATCACATTTAAGTGACAGTTAATTCTTCTGAACAGAGACTTCCTGACCTGCCTATGGAGAGCACCTAGTGTGTGAGGGCTAGAGTTGAAGGCGTGGAGCGATTCCTTAATCACATACCCCTCGTGTTAGAATGCGTGGCTCTGTTCTTGAAGAATGTTTTCTGATGTATATTTCGTCAAATCTTGAGTTTTCATGGGCTCTTCCTTGTATCATGGTGAACTGGTTAGGGCTTTTCGGACATTGACACTGAGATGGCTGTGCTAACTTGATACCCAGATAATTTAGAACATAATACTGTGCTGAAATGAAATGTCTAGTTTGGCTGATTTGTTTCGCAGAGATTTCTCTGTAGTAAAGGGGTGTCTTGGAGGAGGGGAATCAGAACATTTCATTCAGTTTTCTGCTTTACATTGCACTTTGGAAATTCTTCCTGAGATAGAAGGAGCATGAGTAGATAGGCAAAGTTGGATATTTAAGGTTAGCTATTGGAAAATCCTTCTCTTGTGTAGGGGAGAAAAAACACCCTGAAGTCTTCACAAAGTCAGCTTAAGAGTCTGCTGCCTCGGAATCTGTAGGTTTTACTGTCCCTGACGGGCAGTTGCAAGA